GGCCTCCCAAAGTGCTGGGATTACAGGCATGAGCCACCGTGCCCAGCCCTAAATGTCTCATGCTTTTTTAATTTGGAGACTGTCCCTATATGAACCTCAGTTTTCCACTGACTGTCATTTTAAAGTTGGTGATTGTTTTTTACTAGCCCTCTAAATGTAGTAACTTTGCAGTAAATATTTGGCATTGGAGAATTTACAGTTTGACCTTGAAAATATTTCACATATAATCTGTAATTTTGTTAAGTAAATATTTGTCAAATTGAATATGAACGTTAGCACTCTTGAGTATGGCATCCGCTAGCCACATGTGGTTATTGAGCATTTGTAATGTGGCTAGTCCAAACTGAGATGTGTTTTACATATAAAATACACACCAGATTTTCAGACTTTGTATGGGAAAATAAATGTAAAAATCTCATTAAATTTTTAATATAGATTACATATGAAAATGATAATTTTTTAGATGTATTGGGATAGATATTAAATTTAGTATCATCTGTTTTTACTTTTTAAATGTCAGTACTGGAAATTTTAAAGTTCATGTGTAGCCTTCACATACATTTTTGTATTACATTTCTGTAGTGCTGATGTAGATTCCTCCTGTGGCTTAAACTTGTTTTTTACATTTTATTTTATACTCCAGCTTGTTCTAAAAAATGTTGTGAGATCTTTACCTCTGAATTGATTTGGAGTATATACTTGATTATGACTTGTTAAATTCATGTTCTTAAATTTTACTCTGTTTATACAAAGGAGAATAGTTATATTAGAATAGCGTATGGTAGCTTTTTTATGAAAATGCCCTTATTTATATAATTTAAAAGTTGTGGCAGCACGGTGTCTCACGCCTGAAATCCCAGGACTCTGAGGCTGAGACAGAAGGATTGCTTGAACCCAGAGGTTGGAGACCAGCCTGGGCAACATGGCAAGACCCTCTCTTTACAAAAAAAATGTTTTAATTAACTAGATGTGGTGGCGTGTACCTGTAGTCCCAGTTACTTGGGAGGCTGAAGTGGGAGCATCATTTGAGCCCAGGAGATTGAGGCTGCAGTGAGCTCCGATTATGCCACTGCACTCCAGCCTGGGTGACAGAGTGCGACCCTATCTCAAAAAAGGAAAAAAATGTTGTGGGGAAGGGGTTTTGAATTTAAATGTATGTTAACCTGATTTTATTTTTAATTTATTTTTGGTATTTAGCTTGTAGACCCTGGAGTTAAGGCATGGACACCCACTAAAGGAAAACAAAATGTGATTATGTTTGTTGGATTGCAAGGGAGTGGTAAAACAACAACATGTTCAAAGGTAAATGGAACTTAATTTAAAAAGAAGCCATATGGAAGATAGGTTTGTATAAATCAAGTTTTGTACTTAATGTAAAAATATATTATAAAGCCTGGTTTTATAATATTGAAATGTATATTTTATTAATTATAATTAATTAGAATATATTAATATATAATATGTTATATATATTTTATTAAAATATATTTGTGATATATTAAAATATACTATAATATATTAAAATATCTTATAAAGCCAGGCTTTATAATATTTTTGCTTTATAATTTTGTGTTACTTGATGTATGTTTTTA